TATTGCACCCACCTACTAGACTTCTGTGCAAAAAATTTTGTTCTCACATCTTCCACTTTTACATTTCAAAGAAATTTGCCACCGGTATTTTGTAAGATAAAAAATTATAATAATTTAATTATCAAGAAAAACCAAATAGAGAGCAATGTTATATAACCAATGACGGAGCCAAGATTTTAGATGAGAGGTGAAAAATTTTAAAGCTGAAGGGTAGAACTAAAAGTTGCATGGGAGATATATATTAAAATTTAAGAATAAATAGTTCAAAATTTCAAGAGTATGAATATAAAATATTAAAATTTATACAATAAATTTATATTTTTTCTGAAGTGAAGGAGTTGTATTGCACTCAGACCGCCAAGTGGCTCCGACATTGTGTACTTCTAACAAAAAATACATATAGATATAACCCATGGGTTAATTGGGTTAAAAAAAAAAAAAAGCTGGAACCTCCGTTTCCATATCATTTCTTCATGATCATGCTGGTTCAGATGGACATGCTATTCCTATATACTACAAGTTCTTGATAAGCCCATGTCTTGATATGCCGTAATGGCACCAACACCTTTCGCATAGAAAAGATCATAGTTTCAAACGTTGTGCTGAGTGTCTGGAATGTGTGTGGACATATGTGTGTGTCTTGAATACAAGTTTCAGAAAACATTTGTACTACTTATTATATACATATACGCACTCATACTTCTTAAGTTTAACAACATATTTAATGCTGAGTCAAATTAAACACGATATGAATGTTCACGAATCAAACTAGAAAACAAGGGGTTTTGGTTGAAAAACTTCGGCTTGTCCAATGGCAATAATTAACTTCATTGATTGGTTCATAACACTGTGTTGTGAAATTTATATATGCAGCTGCTGACCAATGAGAGAGACACGTAATTTATTTATAAAATAAAGCTAAACCGTGGCTATCAAGATAATAACAAAATCATTTTTTGTAGGACAGATTATGACATTTGCACGGCAAGGTAGAAAGAGCCAAATGGAAAATCACAGTATTTGTTATTCCCATGTAATTGTCAACTTGTTCCTTAATTTTTCCGAGGCAAAGTTAGTTAACTTGTTGAAAGCATGTTTTTTAACTTGTTGCTTTCAGATATTGTTATTTTTTTTATATGACACTAACTTCCCTGTCGAAGAACTTTTGCAAGTATACTGTATAACATTACAATACCTATGAAGCTTTATTTATTTTTTTTCTTTTGTGAAAAAATATGTTGTATGTACTTATATCTAATTTTAAAACTGTACAATTTTGAGCACATCTCTTATACCACCTTGCAACATCAAATAACCAAACAAGTTATAAAATTTCATAAATCGTAACGCAAATTCAATGAGCTTTACTCTTTGACTGTTAGATCCCATTATTTGCATTTGGAAGACTATTATTCCACACGCTAGCGTAGGATCGTGCAGAAATTTTCATCGACGCAGCTGGCCCAGAAAACCGAAAGAAAGAAAGAAATTTTCATGATGTAGAGACAAAGTTAAAAGGAATTACATATAAAATGTACTATTTCCATCCAGCAACATAAATAAATCTAAACGAGTGAGAACATTTGAGCTGACTAAAGTTATAATGCATACATACCTTAGCAACACGTGCTTGTACGTGCTGTCGAATATTTAGAAATATGGACCAAATATATGGCAGTTGGAATTTAATTTTTCTTACGTATAATTAATTCACATTCAAATATTGCTGAATTCAATTTGAGATAATTTTTTCAAATTTTTTTTTTTTTCATTTACACAAACTCAAACTTGAGACCCTTTCCACTAAGATCATTTTATATGAATAGTTGGAATTTTTTTTTTACATATAAAAAAATTTAGGTGAGTTGTATTTGAAGGCTTATTAGGGTCAAGGTGTATCTCCAAGCTCAAAAGGTGCTTATTGAAGTATTTTATAAATTATTCACTAATAAAGTCCTTACATTTGTAGTGATACTTAATCCCACCATCTTGTGAGTTACATAATACTTTGTGTGCTAGGGAAACTCGAAAATGGAAACACTTGATTGAATGTCAGTATGTGGTTTTAACGTGTTCATATTTGTTGAATTTAATCTAGTCACAAGTCACCTTGTGCAACTTACGGGTAGTAAAGATTAGTTGAATTGTATAAGAAAACCTTAATGTATTATAAATGTCCTCGTGTTGGTTTGCTCAGGGTCCATATTTAATGGGCCAATAGAAAACTGAAGCCCAATGGTCCATACTCACAGCTTAAGGGACATACCATAAACATGTTTTTTTTTTTTTAAAAAAAAGAATATTCTTCTTTTAGGCCAAATTTAAAAATATATTCTGAAACCCAGATTCTTCCTTCAAAAGCCTAAGCCAATTAAATTTGCATCCTTACCTTGCATTACAGACAACCAAAATTAAGTTTGCCATGACATAAATCAATGTTTTGACATAAATTAAGTTTACCTTGCATTTCTGATTTTTTTTTTAAACGCGAGGTTTATTATTATTATTATTATTATTATTATTATTATTATATTTTGTAAAAAAGGTTATCAGGGGTATTTTAAGGGCCTTGTTGGTCAATGGCTAAAACGAAATATTGATCAAAAAAATATATTGATCCAATTAGCGCCCTTTTTGCAAGCCTTTTTTTTTTTTATGCAATTAACTAGACGCATAAAAAAGAACAAGAGGTGTTCACTCCATGGGTTGCATAAAAATTATAAAAATGAAGGGAACAAAAAACCTACAACGAGACCTGGTCCTTTTTTCGTCGCACAAAATTTGAGTTTTGCTGCCGAAGGATATCGAGATTTTTAAACATAACGAAAAATATAATGTTAAAAATACAGTATTTGCCCAAAAAAAATTTGAAAACGATTTGCCTCACAACAAATAGAATTAGCATGTATTCAAGCCCTAATATGATTCATTCTTTTAATCTTGAAATAAAAAAATTAAATAATTTTATTTTTTAAGATTGACTTTATTAATGAACTATATTTTTAAAATATTTTAAGTTTTTTTGAATAGGGCTTGTGTAACATCCCAACTTTTAACTGCTACAATTTAAATAACATTCAGATATTTAATAAGTAATTTAAGGTTTAGAGCAACTTCTGTATGTTGTTTGAGCTGTAGAGGCATATAGGATTATGAGTTAATGAAATAGAATATGAGATTAGGAAAAAAAATATAGATTATGATAACTTGATTCTAATTATATTTTAAAAACATTTAAGTATTATTTTATGAAATTCAAAATTCAGGGTAGTAAATATTTATCAATATTAATTTGAATTTAATAGAATTATTTTATGATAATTAAACTTTATCATGTAATTATATGACCAAAAAGAACTTTACTTTTGGTCAAAACAAAAAAGAAGAAAAGAACTTTACTTGCAAGGGGTTATATATTTTAAGCTGTGTTTTTAAAACCGGACCGGATGGTCGAACTGATCCAACCATCAACCAATTTGGTTTTTGATTTAGTTTATATGAGAAAACTGTTTTAGAGGTTGAGCCGTTTCGAACCGGCGGTCGGATTGGAAACTGAATCCGATTTTCAAAAATCGGACTGTTCAAAAAAAATTCTTTTATTTTTTATCAATTTTTTTTAAAAATGAGTATTTTTTTTAATCATTTCTTATTATGTTATATCATGTGGCTTATTAAGTCATGATAAATTTAAAATATTTAATTTTTTTAAGTTAAATAGCAATTTCAGATGTATTTCTTATATTTAGATTATTATATACATATATAATTTTTTTAATTTAATTATTACGTCATCGGTTTGATCATTGGTCCAACCCGATTGAACCATATAAATCGTGAATCTTTGACTTTTTTGGTTTATTATTCAATCTGGTTTTAAAAACATATTTTTAAGTTGATAGGTTATACTTTTATGTTAATATTCTAATTATATAAATATTAAAGATTTTTTTTTGGCAAATAAGTAAATGTGAAGGGACCAAACTAGTACAAAACTTGAATCACATCACATTATACCCGCCTTGTCATTTAACGCAGCAACATCATCACGGCTTTTTCCTTGTATGGATGAAAGTGATTATGTGAATGTGGAATGTATCTCTGAACAGAACCAGAAAAGAAGTGGGAAACAATTGTCAATAGACCATTACCAAACAAAAAAAAAAAAAAAATCGTCAATAGAGAAGGCAAGTGATTGTCAAATTCAGTTCAAATAGAGTCGCAAGGGCATTTTTGTAATGTATGTAATCCTTCACTTCTCAATGTGTGTTTGAAATTCAATTTACATATTCAATTTACGTTTTATAAAAGTATATTTGAGAGAACTAACTATTTATTAAATTAAAAAAAACACATCCCAAATATATTTTAAATATGCTTTTGGCAGCCCTTAATCTTATCCAAATCCTGCACGTCTATCTTCTGCAAATTCAGCCTTGCGTGTTATCTTTGAGCTGGTCAAAAATATTTAATTTTTAACTCTTTCTCGTTTTCTTTTGTTATCAATTAATATGGAGGTGTTGATACCATTGCCACAACACGCCATTGGCAGATTCAGTTCTCTTATCTAACATTAATTTGATTTGATAATATTTGAATCTAAATTATACAACTATTACATAAAAAATAACATGTGTTTTCTTATTTAATATATTTTATGTAACTATCTCACTAAATTAAATTTATATATTCTTTGACTTAAGATAACTAGTCCTCTCAAAAAAAAATTAAATTTAAAATCTCATATTTAAACAGTCACATTAACTCCTCATCTATGGTATTTATATTAGTTATAAATTTGAATGACTGATATTCATGTTGTTGGCATGATTTAAATTTAAAATATAAAATAAGCACTAGATCTTCTCTTATTCTCTTGATCCTTTACTCTCTAGATGGTTTTTTTCATATCTCGATTTTACAATATGCACAAGTAACAGGGGAAAAAAACCTTTTTTAAATTTTTTTAACCATCAAATTGAAGTGCATTCAACATTTGAGACTACAGTGACAATTTTTTGTTTTTTGGAGTGAAAAAGGAATTTCATTAACAAAGAGAACCGTACAGTACACAAAAAAGGAAAGCAATCAGAGTTACATCAAAGACTTCAAAGTAGAGAAGGCTGAGTGTACGTATGATTGAGTATGGCTCTAATCTGTACCAGTAAATTATCTACAGCAAACGTGGCATCAGTAAATACACGTTCGTTCCTAACTTCTCAAAGCTTCCAACATACAATGCTGATTCCAACTACCCAAGAGGTGTCCAGGCGTGAAGACTTCAGTATGCTAAGCGACCACATATCAACATTGTCCTCAGAGAAATCCTTGTAGATAACATTTTGCAGAATTTTCCTCAAGACGTTAGCGGCAAAGGGACACTCTTTGAAGACATGATTGACGCTTTCAATAGGACTGTTACAAAGGGAGCACTGTTGATCATCAGTCACCCTTCTACGCAGTCTCTCAGAGTTAGTGAGGAGCTTTCCTTTGAACATTAAAAAAAAAAAATAAAAGTTCTGACACGTTGAGCAACAGGTAACTTCCATATGAGCTTCCACTCCTCGTCTGGTTCATTCCAACCTAAGGATTGATAAGCTGTGCAGGCTGATTTCACAGAAAATTCACCTTTAGAGTTCAGACGCCAAAAACAGGATGGTTGAGCAGCTTCATTAACATCAATAACTGTCTTCTCTTACTCTTCAAATCAAAATACTTCCTGAAGTGTCCAAACGCGTCAAGTTTCTCCATTTATCCTTCAAATCAACCTGAAAAAAAAATAAAACGAAACAAAATATCATTGTCATATCAAAGCTCAAGCTCACAAACAATAGCATGGCAACGCAATTTAACATAAATGTTGCCATTGTTAACAAAGAAACTAGTGCAAGTTCATAATTCCAAGCATGGAAAACTGGCAAACAAACATGCAAACTCAAACCAAAATGGTTTGAACTCATGAAATCACAGTGCAATTCTGATTTCATCTACGTGATCAGAAACATATATATATATATATATATATTGTTTTAGGTGAAACAAGAGGGCTGTAAATGAAAGAAACTTGCAAAACAACTATACAGGAAATCAAACTCCCCACCATAAATCAAAAGAACATATCTGTTAAGCCACTCAGTGGGTTAGGCAAGAAATTGAGCCATATATACACAAGAGAAAGAGTTTGAAACATTGTTGCTTACTTCTGTTCTTCCTGTCTTCGTAAATATCTCACTGTAAAATTTTCGGATTGACCTCCAATTTCCTTTGCCAAACCTTTATAAGAAAATAAGGACAATAAGAACATAAAATCATGATGTTTGAAACTTCAAAAAACTAATTCATATTCTCCATCCAAGAAGAAAAGGTCTTAAAATCCCAGCATAATTTCAGTGGTTTAATAGTGTTGTGAAATTGTTGACTTCTAAGTTTTGAGAACACAATGTTTCGCAACCTCTTGAGCAAAGACAATAACTACTCTTTTCTACAAGGAATACTACCAAAATGCAAGGGTTTCCAAGCACAATTAGATACACAACAGAATTATTTAACCATGGGAAAGTTGTCTCACAAGTTTAAAACAAAAACTTACTTCTTTACACCAGCCCTTAATGCATCCTCTTCTTCAGAACTCCATTTTCCCTGTCTCCTCCTTTTCTTAGGGCTTCCCCCAGGCAAGTCATTAAACGAATCATCCTGCTTCAAAAAATAAATAAATAAAATAATATGCTTTAGGAAAATTCAAAAAGAAACTCAATGTCCACAAAATATTTCTGAATCAAGAGACCACAAAGGACAGGTCTTATATAAGATGCGACCCTTTAGATTAACACACAGGCCATCCTGATTCTTCTAACTTTAAAAGAAACTGCCACAACAGTAAAAATAGAAATTGAATAACAAAGTTACCTTATAAGTATGGGCAGTACTATTTCGTTGCATCAAGCTGGGACGCTGAACATTACTACAATCAGCAGAATATTGTTTCTTTAAAATATCATCAATAGGTTGATAAAGCACCATGCTCTTGCAAGTATTTTGTTCCGGTGCATCTACAACTGCGCTCTGGTTTTCAAAAGGAGGCTCACGATTCACACCCTTTGATGCTAATTCAGATCCCACAATGTCAGAATTATGTACTGCATCAGGAAGAGGATCCTTCACCACTGCTTGCAAGTCCAAAGAACTTGATATGAGAGATTTCCGAAGTTTTTTGACTTGAATAGTAGATGCACTGTGATCTTCGCTGCACATAGTCGTTGGCCCTGCTTTCTCAGCAACGGTAAAATGAACTCCTCTACGTGTATGGGGTAGACCGTGATCATGTTCAAGCGGCAGCTTGCCCTTTTGAATTGCCGCTACGCGAGATGCAGAAAATAAATCAAAATGCATTGTGGAGTGTGGTCGAGAAAATGATATTCATTTTATCAAAAAGAAGCCAGGCAATTCAATGATGTTGTGTTGCTAATTTTGTTGTGTGATGTGATAACATAAAAGAAAACGAAACTGAAGATTTGCCTACCATGGTCATTCAAGAAAGCAATCATACCAGATCAACTTTCATGATTCAAATAAATTAAAGTATAATTTATAGTATGCAAACAAAAATGATTACGCAAGACAATAAACAATGCCAGTTTTTGGAACAAAATTAAGTTATGCTACTTGCTCCACCTATGCCTCCCTTTAAAACTTGAAGCACATACAAGATACTGTTTGCCAATTGCTAATACCCCGTAATATTCTCCATGAACATGACTTTTAACAGGCTGACGTCACTGTCTTTTGAAAAATCGTAGTTCAGAAGATGTAAAAGGCTAGAAATTGAGAGCAGAAACAGAGATGAATTGTGAAGAAGCAGGGCAGAAAAGCATACCTCTATTTATCCTCTGAGGCATGTCAGTGCCACCCAATGCCTGACTTCCGCCAATAGTAGATGCAGCTGCTAGCTCTAGAAAAGAAGGGCCCATGGATGCCCAAGTTTCTTTTAGATAGACCCTCACCTTATCGAGTGCATGTTCTTTTGTATTAGTCTTCGTTAAAATCTGGCACACCTCTTCATCCCAACGGCAAGACTCTATGACGTCCTTCCAACCTATCAACTCCGCCGTAAGCAATTCAATCCTCATCCCTGATGCCACCGCCTCCATCATCTTGCGAACTCGGCCCCTCCAAATCCTATTTACAGCATCGTCAAACAAGCCGTTAGTGTTCTTATGCGGGCAAGCATCAAGGTACTTGACGGTGCACTGCACGGCAACAGCACAATATGCCTCCTTCATCGCTGTTGTGATTGCAATGCCATCGAGCTTATTTATTTCTTCAATAACCTCTAAACAGGCTAATAGGTTTTCTGTAAGGGAAGCCGCAGCCACCTCGGATTGAACATCCCTAAGAACCAATGTTTTCCTCAGCCGCGAATCGACATCAGAGAAAGGCAAAAGCTTGAAGATTTTCTTGACGATGGAATCTGGTATGGAACTCCTAAGCAAAAACTCTAGTATCCAGCGACATATATCATGGTCCATTCACCCGGAAAGCTATGATCACTGAGGAAACTGGAAAGAAGAAGACCTGGGCTCAATGTTTCAGAGCAATTTGTGTGGAATTTCCGAATTTGCTTTACAGGAAGCTCTTCGGAGAGACGGAGACTGAGTTAAAACTTAAAAGCTTAAGATGGGTTAAAGAATTCGGAGAGACGAAGAGTGACTTGGCATGGATGTAGGGACGTTAAGCTTCGGGATCCGAGAGCGAAGTTTTTTTCCCTTAGCGTCTCTAGCAAATCTAGACCGTTCGTTCATGGGATTTTGTACTCGTAGGTAGAATAACTTCTCCATTTTTCTTCACCTCCCCTGCCCTAATCATTCATTAATTTTATAATTTTTTTAAAAAAATTTTACCTTTCTGTTCGACAGTTGATGTCGTGTCCAAAAAAAAAAAAAACTTTTCCATTCCTTTTTTATAAATAACTTCTAACTCCATCATTGAAATTAAGATTAGTTGCATAAAATAATAAAATTATTTTAAAAATAAACTACTTCTCAATTTTATCTCTAGATTTAAAAAAATTAATTTGATGTATAAGAAAAATATTTTAATAATTAAATTATTGTAATTTTTTAAGAATTTGTTAAAAGATACTTTTAAAATTGTATATTAAATATTATGAAAAATGTTAATATAAAAGATCAAAAATATTTTTAAAAAATGTAACTTATCAAAAGGATATTAGGGAGTAAAAGAAAATGGTAATTAAAGACCACTGGAAAAATTTTGGATTTAGGGGCCACCAATTGGTGAAATTTGAAATTACTCAACATGATCATGGTTATTAAATTTCCAAAATTTTGAATTAAAAGACACATTTGCCCTTTTGATCTCCATTCAATTGAAAAGTTAAAATTGAAAGTTTGAAAACGCAAGGAAAAATGCCCGTTAAATCTACAAGAAAAAAATTAATAATAATTAAGCTCTTGAAAAAATTTTTAAAATTAAATTATAAACATTAATTCAAATAATTTAACAATAACAATTATAAATAGAATATTTAATTTATGGATGTAATTTGTATTTTAAAACTTGAAGGACTAATATAATAATTTAAGAAAATATAAAGAATTAAAATGATCATAATTAAACTTGTGAGACTGTAACACTCTCAAATTTACAAATCGATTTTTCGTAAATTATTAATTCAACAAATCATTTTTTTTTTCATTGAACCCTTATCATACCCTTATCATGGTAGAAAAATTTCTACCATGATACATCCAAGACAATATACCACAGGTCTTAAAATATCTCAAAAAGCAATTAGAACCATGAGGGACAGACATGATCCTCATAGCATGTTATTCAAATTAAGTCATGAATCAAAAGGGACAGACATAATCCTCTTGGATATATAAATGCATTTAATAAAAAGGATTAGAGTTTACATGCTCCATAGACAAGATATGTCCTAAGTTGGCACAAGATACATTATATAATCCAAAATAAGAGGCAACGTAAAAGATGGTGTTTCATACACCATAATTACACCTCTGGTGCTTTCTCGGCCGGATTCGCTCCTGTAAAAATATTAACCACGGGGAATGAGACTTAAAAGTCCCAGTAACCAAAAATTAATATGTAATGATGCATGCGGATGTAACTAATCATGCGATTGCTAAGTGGGCACACAAAACATTTAACGGAACAATACTTTCAAACAAACCGAACAAGTATTTAATTTGCATGACTACACCTTATATCCTCCTTTCGCCATGCTCGGACGCCAAATCACCCGGCCAAAGGTGAGTTGGACCAAGCGACACGCCACTCATTGGGTCCAATGAGGGCTTACCACGTGGTAATAATTAACCGAACAGAAATTCCCATTAACACCATACATGAAAATACCCTGACAAGTCATGCATCATTCAAATATCCAAACAGGAATATTTCCGAATAATAATATCTCATCATGATAAATAAAAATAAATTTTTGACCCACTTGGCAATAATTTCAAACAAGTATATACAGTATTTATTTTCAACAATTCATAATTTTTCCAAACAACAAAACAACACATAACCATTCACAAACACACCCATCACAACACATTAATAATGGTTACCTTGTGTCTTGAATAACAAGTTCCCCTTCACAACTCCTCTTTCACCACTATCTTTGTCAACACAATCTACATAGTTATTTCATAATACTATGTATTAATTTTACATTAAAATACATAACTCTAATTTAAAGAGTTAGAAAGTCTTAGATCTATAATCCATATTAACACTAATTTAGGATTTATGCCTCATTTAACTTCTCAAATTCTTTTCTAAAATTCTCGTACCCTAATAAACTATTGTTAAGCCTCAAATTACTTCTAGTATCACAATTTCATCTTTCTATATTCTAAAAATTCGCCCAAAAATAAATTAAAAATTTTAGAATTATCCTGAAGCCTCAAATCACCTTTCTATAACCTCAAAAATACCTATTCATACTTAAATAAATATTTAATAATCAGAGGTTCATCCCTACATCTCAGATTCCACATAAATTCAACCATATAGATCTAGATTTTAACTCAAAAATTCTTAAACATGAGTTTCAACCTCAAGAAAGTATTCTATAATATTTATTATATCTCTAAGAGTTTTAACCTATATTTTTAATCCATCATATCATCAAATTAAATATCCTATAGAAAAAAATCCTAATCAAAATATTTACTCTATCCTATAAAATAATCATATCACTAGAAAGCTAATATTATTTAGAAAATAACTATAAAATTAATTTTATAATTAAATAAATTTTTAAATGCTAATCTAAACAGGAAAGTTAGAACATACCTGAAGAAAAAGAAAATAATCCCCCCTTGCGAGAAAAACGCCGAGCAATGTGAGAGGAAGAGAGAAAAATAATATAAAAATGGGATTGTGGTCCCAAAATTATATTAAAAAAAACTATAGGTTCGAATTTAATTATTCAAACCTTTGGGCCAAAAGTTACAATTTCCTCTAAATTGCATCTTAGCCTCTCATGCTTCCTAATGCACACACCCCCTCCTTTTTATACATGAAGGCACCTCTTCTCTTCCCTTATCTAACCAATGTGGGACTTAGAAACAACAACCTTCCACCCCCCCTTTTTTTTTGTTCCTTCTACCTTCTCTTTTTTTTTTAACACACACATAAAAAAATTATTTATGTATTATATCTTAACTAAATATTGCTTATGTGGTTTTAAATTTAAATTTTTAAATTCATAATTAAATACCTAATCATAATATTATTTCTAAATAACCTCAAATAATATAAATTCCTATTATTATCATTTTTTTCCTCAAAACCTAAATTTCACAATTTCTTTATTATATAAAAATCAGGATGTTACAATTCTCCCCTCCTTTTAGAAATTTTGTCCTCAAAATTTAATAGATAAGCTTAGAAACTATGTACCTAAGCAAATAAATGTGGATAATCTCGCCTCATACTCTCCTCGGTCTCCCAAGTAGCATCACCTAGGGCTCCACCCTTCCAAATCACCTTCACGAGTCGGATGGTCTTATTGCGTAGTTGTTTGTCCTTAAAGTCCTCAATTCGCTCCGGTTCGGATCTAAAGGTCAAATTCTCCCTCAATTCTACTTCTTCAGGTTCAATAACATGGGAGGGATCCGGGTTGTACTTCTTCAACTGTGATACGTGGAACACATTATGGATACCTGCAATCTGTGGAGGTAATGCAACTCTATATGCAGTAGATCCAATTCGCTCCAAGATCTCATACGGGCCCATAAATCTAGGTGTCAATTTCTTTGCCTTAATGGATCTACCAATGCCTGTCACTGGAGAAACCTTCAAAAATACATGATCTCCTACTTCAAACTCTAACGGCCGTCTCCTCTTATCAGCATAGCTCTTCTGTCGGCTTGAGCGGTTAGCAATTTTTGCTTAATCATTGCAATCTTCTGGGTGGTCTGCTCTACAATTTCTGGACCAATGATACTCCTCTCACTTAATTCTGTCCAACATAAAGGCGATCTACACTTCCTTCCATACAAGGCCTCATAAGGCGCCATCCCAATACTAGAATGATAGCTGTTATTATAAGCAAATTCAGCTAATGGCAAATGATTATCCCAACTACCTGGTAGTTCAATGGCACAAGCTCTCAACATGTCCTCCAAAGTCTGGATCGTCCTCTCTATTTGTCCATCTGTTTGGGGGTGGTATGCGGTGCTAAAACTCATTTTGGTACCCATAGCCTTCTGTAGCGCACCCCAAAAGTTTGAAGTGAACCTTGGGTCACGATCTGACACAATTCTAGAGGGTATACCATGAAGTCTAACTATCTCCTTAATGTATATCTCAGCAAATTTCTCTAATGTAGAGGTAAACTTGATCGTCAAAAAGTGAGCCGATTTGGTGAATCGGTCTACTATCACCCAAATAGCATCCTTACTCGAGGGTGTTCTTGGCAGTCCAGTGATGAAATCCATGGAAATATTATCCCATTTTCACTTTAGAATATCTAACGATTGCAGTGTTCCAGCTGGCTTCTGATGTTCTATCTTTATCTTCTGACACGTTAAACATCTAGAAACAAATTCAGTTACATCTTTCTTCATTCCTGGCCACCACCAACCTCGCTTCAAATCATGGTACATTTTAGTTATACCGGGATGAATTGTATATTTGCTCCTATGAGCTTCTTCTAAAAGGATATTCCTCAATCTTGGATCATTAGGTACACAAACTCTACCTTTATACCTCATCACTGTGTCCTCAGAGATGGTAAAATTTAGGGCCTTACCTACCACTATCTCCTTCCTTATATTCCTTAAGTAGTCATCACTCTGCTGTGAGACTCTGAGATCTTCCCAGAATTTGCTCTCAAAGTCTGCTACCTGGAGTGCGGCCATTTGATGTTCAATCACATCTACTGGAACATCATGAAAACTGTTCCACAAATGATATTCATGAACCATCAAATGTGCAGCATGAATAGTCTTTCTACTTAAGGCGTCAGCTACCACGTTAGCCTTACCCGGATGGTAATGTAATTCAAAGTCATAATCCTTCAAAAATTCCATCCATCATCACTGCCTCATATTAAGCTCTTTTTGATCAAATAAATACTTCAGGCTCTTATGGTCACTGAAGATTTGAAACTTAGAT